ACCTTTTTCAGCCTCTTGGGGTAGGAAATTAAATAAGGGTCGCAGCAGCAAAAAGAGTAAGAGAGGGAAAAAGAATGGGAGGAAAACATCGCCTCATCACTCGGCGATCAGTGATTGGGCGTGGGTCCTAGAACGAATAATTGCAATCTGTATTGCCTCGACACTCGTCTGACGTGACATCGACCGAGGGGCGGGAAGGCCAGGCGATCCGGTAACGAGGCTCCCACTATGCACTACCTGTTGGGTTTTGGGACTCGACAGGTCCTTCTGTTACTCTTGGGGGCCACTGAGTATTCCTAGGGAAATGCTAAGCAACCTTTTTTATCGTGAATTGTGCCTTTAAGACTGAATGGAGGTGAAAAGGTTCCTGAAACATCTCTTCGAAGGCTACATTGTTTTTAGCATGCCAATTGCAGAGTTTTTTTTACAGAATTTAAGCAAATTAATTCACCATCTCGTTGTCGGACCCAGTGCAGTCATTATTGTGAGCTGCAGAGCAGTAGAAAGGCCTATGAAGATAAGCTACTATCCATGGGGTCTTCTTACGATTCGTGTTCGCCAACTAAATACTTTATTATAAGGGATTTCTCTTTTTGCCAGATGAAAACAAAAACTGTTCACCTTAAGGTCTTCCTTCAGCCAGTTGTACTGGTTGAATACTGGTTCTTTCCCCAGGGTATCATAATATCCATAGTATTCCGTGCTCAGAGCTACCCAATGAATTGGACCGAGGTCGAAGCTGAATTAGACTAGTTCAAATGATCATTTCATTTTATTTTCAAGTGACGGTGAATCAGGTGCCAGTTCCCAATGATGGTTGCAATTAGAAAATGAAGGCTTGAATAATTTTGTATTTCAATTTATGGTTGGATCTAATTTAAGGATTTTGCAGGAAGGTTTCTCGCAAGGATTGGCTCCCACCTAATCTTTTAAATCACAATTTGTTGGAATTGAATTGTTTGAAATCAAAAAATTGAACTAAAATTTTTACAGCCAGACCGCATAATTAACTTTACTATTAATTTTTTATCCATTACTTTTGGATTTTGATAAAGGTAAAGGATGAAAGGATAGAGCCTTGGGGCAAGGGTTGCGGCCATGCATTCGACTTCCCTTCAGATTCATAATGGCGTTTGAATGTGTATGTGGCGTACAGTTTAGTGATTTTATCCTCCCGAACAAGTACGGCACCAATAAATCGACCCAAGAGGGATGGAAGGCTCGGTTGGCCTAGGTGAATATTGATCCGGGATTCAAATCGTGACATGCGTATGAGGAGTGCGCCGCTTGTCACTACATACCACTTCCGCCCCTTATTTTTGTTAAGAAAATTGAGAGAAATTCCTTAGAACCATACTCGTAGTTCTTAAAACTATGTGCAGATATTCCCAAATAGACTGTGAACTTTGTTCTCAGGGCAGGCTGAAAGCCTGCATAAAGTGGAAGGTTTTGGGTAATACACCTGCGGGTACTGTTGGATCCCCATTGCTACAACTTTCCGTGCTTCTTATGAAATGGGCTATCGATATATATGGACCACCTGGGTGTATAGTTCTTCCGCTTGGTTTCGGTGTACATAGCAATAGCTTACAGTTTGAAGAAATAATTCTCCGTGCTGTCCAAACTTGGAGCAGCACTGTACAAGAGAACTTCCAAGACGCTCGTACAATATGCGCATACATTTGTGTGTTGGAGGCTGAAGGTTTCTTACCTGTAGAATTGATTGTCGTGGAATCCATTCGAGGGCATTTGAAACCTTTCTTGGAAATTCGTGAAGTTTTTGCCGTCGTTTTCATGATTTCCAGCGATAACCATGTAAGGAACATAAATAAAGTGTAAATTAGGGGACATCATCTTAAGACATTCGATGCTTTTCAGGTGGCTAACGAGGCTAAATTACCACTTGAATTGAGACAAAGTGAAATGAGGCTCACTCGTGACGTAATAGGTTCGAGTTCGTTGAGAAATTTGTCACCTCTTTTTCCTGAGTCAGTATGAAGATCGTACGCGATGTCACCTGTTATGAAAAAATGTAGATCAAATCATTTGTGAGAGAAAGGGCAAAACAAGAGTTTCACGATAAAATAAACAACACAAAAACATACAGCGACAGAAAAGTAAAAGGCATTGGTCTCGCAGAAAATGCGATTATTGATCCTCACCAGTAATGATACGTATACCATTTTTAGAGCTTCACGGTCACTCGGTTGCGCATTTGGGCTATGACAATTGCTAGAGGAGGTAATAGTGAATAATGACTATACTTTTCCTTCATACATTAGGCGATTCGATAGGCAATCAAATCGCTTAAAGGCACAGTTC